CTTAAATGAAGTTGTCAATACAAAATCTTTTATAGTTTATTAGTTATATTATTATATTTGAAGTTTATGTTCTAATACATTCTAACACTTTACTCAGAGACACATTTCTGTGTTTATTCTCTCCTAATTGTGTGCTCCGTACTTTTCATGTTACCTTCTTCCCAGTCTTTATGCTCGGTGTCACTCATCCCTTAATGACATCTAATCCCTGAAGACCTGCAGACTTTAAGCATCCACATCATGCCTACTCAGCCCACACCTGAGCGTGTCAGTCTAGCCTGGGCATCAGAATCTTGTTGAGAGGTTCAGAAACCCCTGTGGAATCAGCCTCCCTGGGGGCAGTGATGAACCTGCCCATGTGTGTGATACACCCCGCAGGTTATCCTGGGGTGCAGTCTATAGATTCTTGTGACTGGTACTATTAGCCAGTTAAACTTAATTCAACGTGAATTTTCAAATGTCTAATTTATTTTACTGCTTTAGAAACACTGTCAGATGTGTATTGGAAGTACTTTTATTTGATGGACTTAGTTTAATGAATTCTAGGTAAATCCTAGACTAGTCATTAACTTCAAGATGTTTGATATATTTTGACATTAGCTAAAGTTTGGTCTCAGCAATTTTTAGTACAAACGATTTAACATGTAGAATTGCCATATGTATTGGTAGATAATTAGGAAATGATAAGATTTATCTCTTGAAAGTGACTCACCATGAATGCTTTCTAGTTAGCAGGGGAAATACTTAAAATTAACATGGACATAAAAAATAATATATGTGGCCTTTCTACTTTTAGGTCCTGCGTATCACTTTCACTTTTTTCCAGTTAGAATCAGTGAATAATTGTCCACACGAGTTTCTTCAGATTTATGATGGAGATTCTTCTGCGGCTTTTCAACTTGGGAGATTTTGTGGCTCCAGCCCCCCGCCCGAACTCTTCAGCAGTGACAACGCTCTCTACTTTCATTTCTACTCTGAACATTTGAGAAACCAGAGAGGTTTCACAGTAAGATGGGAGACGCAGCAACCAGGTATGTGTGAACATGGAGAAGGCCAAGCCAATTTTAAGAAGCTTAAAATTTTCTTGATCAACATTAGACTTTTTGATATGTGAGATGTTTGGGGATCCAGAGATACATAAAATCTTCATAATTATTTTAAAATCCAATAAATCTAGCATGAATTGGAATTTTACTTTGTGTTCAAAGATAACAAAATTAGCATGAAGTGGAAGATATTAAAAAGCGTGAGTCTTAATGAGTCTCTTATGAAATCACTGAACAGCATTTTTATAAGCTCTGTTAGTAATTTCCTGCAGAGATATTGTAGTGGTAGCATTGTCTACCCTTCACATAGTGTTCCTTATCTTACTGACCACTCCATAATTTTGTTGTTATTTTGGTTTTGATACTCTGTTTTCTTTTTACTTTTCACTATGAAGATTTTCAACATATAAAAAAGTAAAGAGAACAGTATACCAAGCCCCCAGTTCATTTATTGATAAATCTATGGATCTGTTTCAGGATTTTCTCATTATTTCTATTGGTCTATGTATCTATTCTGGTGCTACATTGATGTGACTATTGAATCTTGAAAGCTGACAGTATAAGTACTTTAAATGTATTCTATTTAAATATGCTATATCCTTATCTTTTGCATTTCCATATAAATTTTTGAATCAATTCATCTATTTTCCCCAAGAATCTGCTGGAAATTTGTTGGCATTGCATGAATCTGTAATCAACTTGGAAAGAAATGACCTCTTAAAAATATTGAACCCACTAATCTATGAACATGGACTATTTCTCCATTTAGCTCTCTTTTAATTTATCCTGGCAATGTTTTATAGATTTCAGTGTCCAAGTACTCCATATCTTTTGTTATATTTATTTATGAATATTTGATATTTTATGCTACATGAAATACAAATATTCTAAAATTTAATTTTCCACCTGTTGCTAGTATGTAGAAATATGATATAGTTTAAAAATATTTGATTTTGATTTTATCCGTTACTAAATTCATTCGTCAGTTCAATTTTTTTTTTTGTAGATTCTTTTGGATTTTTTTTACATATACAGTTACGTCATCTATGAATGAAGGACATTTTTCTTCTTCCTTTCCAGTCTTTGTAACTATTATTTCTTTTCCTTGACTTATTGCCCTGGCTATGACCTCCAATTCAAAGCTAAATAAAGTGGTGGAGTGGACAGCCTGTCTTTTTCCCAACTACATGGGGAAATGTTCAATATTTCGCCATTGAATAAATACGATGTTAGCTATAAGTTCTCACAGAAAACTTTTATCAGATTAAGAGCATTTTCCCTGTTCCAACTACTGTTGCTATGTAACAAATTACCCATGAATTTAGTGTTGTAGAACATTAATCATTTTATTTTGTTTCGATTTTGTGGACCAGGAATTTAGAAAGGGCTCAACATGGTATATCACTTGAAATATGTTAAACAGTTGCAATCAGATGTCAGCTAGGACTGTAGTCATCTAAAAGCTTAACTGGGTTGGACATTCAAGATAGTGCACTCATATGACTAGCAATTGATGCTAGCTTTTTTTTTTTTTTTTTT